ACACATCCCTTCTCTACAAGTGTCCTTCCCCAGGGGCTCAGGAGCTGGGTAGGCAGAGCAGCCTGCTGCATGGCCTCCCATCCACATTCCCAGGCACTTCCCCGAAGTTCTAGGGAAGAGCCCAGGGCCTGGGTGCCAGGAAGCCATATCTCCAGAGCCCACGTGCGCAGGGCTGACGTACAACCACAAAGGTCACTAGGTCTCGTCACTGTGTCCCCATCGGCCAGCCACCTCAGGTGTGCAGGGATTGCCAACGTGCAAGCCAGGAAGAGGAACACACAGATATGAACACAGACAAGTTGCCTTCAAATCAGGGCTACTAAAGCAAATATCACATATATATGTTTTTTTTTCTTTTTTCTCCTCACACCAGTGGCCCAGAACCATCAAGATCACTGTACTTACACATACCACACCACAAGTTGGTAAGTTAGGTTGAGCATCCATTGAAAACTATCAGTGAGATATTTCCCTTCTTTAGCTGTTTTCAGCACTCACAGTTAAAGAGTGAATCTTTACCTGACATGTCATGTAGTAAGAGATTTTCTTCCACTGCATTTCACGTACCTCTATAAAAAACTACATGGAGAAGACAACTCATACTATTTGCAGAAAACTACCTGCAAATGCAATAGTAAATAAATATGAACCTTCTACATTTACATATCACCTAACGTTGCAATTATTCAAAAGGACCTTCTTAAAAATTATTTTAGACAAGTAAACAAAACAAATGAAATGAAAGGTTAATTTGCTCTATGATGAGCAATACATACATCAGAGCAAAACAAATAAAAACAGATTTCTTTGACCAACAGCAGGAGCATCCTCCATCAATAAAATGAGCATCACTGGAATTATCCTCAACACATTTTTAAGATTCCTCATAAGAACACCTTTTGAATTGAAAAACAGAAAGAAGCACTCCAGACAAATCTATTTCCCATTAATCTCTAAGTTGAAAGTTAGGTTTAAAAGGCAAACCTTATTTTAATTAACAGATTTCTTTTTCCCCCCCCACATGCGGCAAAGAGAACTTTGAAGTGTGGGCTCCCGTGGCCCAGAAGGAAGCAGGGAAGAGAGGAGGGGAGGGCAGTTAGACCTGCCTCCCTTCTTCAGGACTAGGAGAGCCAGAGGACAGAGGAAGAGCAAGTCTTCAGCCTGCAGCAGACGAAGCAAGCACCTGCAAGATCACTGGGCAGCTCTAGGTCCAGCTCTGTCCCTGATTTGCTATGTGGCATGGGAAGCTGATTTCATTTTGCTTTACATCTGTTTAGGGGGAGGGACTGTAAAATAAATGTTAAGAGCAAGCTTAGAAATTGATAAGTGCCGACTAAGCAAGTTTTGCACTCAGTTGACTATTATTTGCCACAAATCAAGCATTTTATATATTATCTCTTCTGATTATGGTAAACTAAAAAAAGAAACAAAATCCTGTTTAATTAACATGACCAAAGCTCCACATGAGTAGACACTAGGGTTTAAGATGCCTGTTTCATTCTACGTCATACTTCCCCATCTGAAGGAGTCTGGTGTCTATGACTCTATGTTGCTCTTCTAAAACTCAGACATCATTAGCATTGCTCCCATGTCCTGGGTGGTGTTCTTCACAAACAACACTCACAACACTTTCCCCCCAGTGGCTGCATACTTCCTACTGGAACTGCCTTTAATGCGTCTGTAGCCTCCTGCCCCACCCCTTCACCCACTACAAGGACTTTCCCTACGTCCTAGACTTTTATACACCCATACCCAGCCAGCCACCAGACCAGCATCTGTGCTGGAGAGCTAGTAAGAGCAGCAGCAAGCAAGAAGCCACAGATTTTATTTCATCTGAAATTCAGTCCATGTATGTATTCTGTTCTTACACTTTGTTGTTGTTTTGGTTCCGGGGATCGAACTCGGGACCTTTGCACTTGCCTGAGCTAAATGCCTGGCCGGTGCTTTCGCTTTTTAAAATGAACTTGATTATAGCTACATTATGTCCAATTGGCTTCATTCTCAATAAACATTAACTACACAACGTCCTAAGTCCTGGGCAGCACAGTACATGTCCAAAACCAGGGAAATTTTACATTCTAGAGGAATGTAAATACAAAGCATCATTAGGACAGCATTTCCTTGTCCACAAAGTAGATTTCCATATTCTCTCTGACTCCCCAAAGAACTGCCCAGGACGCCCTGACTGGGGCCCTTCTGTCCTCCTTGACTTGGTCAACATCTTGTCTCTTCCCTTAACGCTCCTGAATTCTAGGTTGCCTGACCTTCCTTCAAACATTGGGTTTGAGTCTTGGTTCCCATGGTAACTCCAGGGCCAAGTCAGCCTCACCCCTAGGAAGGGGGAAACCCCAGTGCAGTTCAGCCGCGCCCCAAACAGGCCCCAAACAGGGCCCAGACTGACGGGCCGAGCTGGCTCTTGGGCAACTCGCGCGGCTTAAGGCAGCCCGGAAGAGGCAGGAGGCACACGTGGGGGCGCAGGGAAGCGCCCCGTCCTTGGGGTAAACGCGGTCAGCACAGGCCAGGCGCTCACCTTACGCGCAGGTCCAATCGGAGAGCAACTCCCCTCATCCCGGTACTGTTCTACAAGTAAATACTCACATCCTCTACAATTACCCTGTATTTTAAAGTAATGTTCGTGAAGCTGTAACACTGTAAATTGTGTTTTCGCTTTGAATTTTACACCACCACTCTTCGTTGGCTCTCTCTCCTAGAAGGGCGCCCTGGGGAGCCCCGGGGAGGCGAGGGGTGGACGCCAGCCCCTAGCTCGGCGCCTCCGTTCACTCGCGCAGGGAGCGGGGCTGCGGCGACCGCCTGCGCGCCAGAGGGGCTGCGCGGAGTCAGGGCGCCGGGGCGGGCCTGGCCTCGGAGCGGAGAACCGGCGCTGCCCCGGAGCCCGGCCTCGGCGAGCCCCGGTCCTTCCCGCAGGGCCCGGGTCTCGGCGTCGGGCCGGGCGCGCTCGCCCGGGCTTTGCTGGCGCGATCGGGCGAGCGGCGCAGCAGGCTGGGGAGGCCGGCAGGCCGGCCGAGCGCGTCGCCCTTCCGGACAGCACCGCCGGAACCTGGGCTCGAGCCGGGTTCCCCGACCGGCTGCAGCCCCGGCCGGCCATGGAACCCCGCACTGGGCCGCGCACCTCCCAGCGCCGACTCCTTCGGTGCGCGGCAGCCCGCGCCCTATATACCCTGCTAAAAATAGCCTCCCAAGACGCTGTCCAATCAGAGCGGCCCGAGTTCGAATTGACCCAATGGAGAGGGCTGTCATGAAGAAGCTCAGTCACGCCAGGCGGGGCCCCGGCGTGTCGCCGCCCGCGATTGGCCGGAGCTGACATCATCGGCACGCAGCCCGCGGGCCGGGCGCGGCGCGATTGGGCGGTGCGCGGGGCGGGCCCGGGCGGGTCACGTGGGCCGGGGGGCGTGGCCCCGGCGCGGCGGAGGCCGGCGGCGGAGCTTTGAATAGGGAAGTGGGCCGCGCCGGCGTTCGCAGTCACCCGGCTGTGCGCGATCGGGGTGTGGGCTCGCGGGCCGCGCGGAGCTGCTGGACTTGGCCGCGCGGCGGGCGGAGCTGCGCGGCGCCCGACATGGATGTGCTGCCCATGTGCAGCATCTTCCAGGAGCTGCAGATCGTGCACGAAACGGGCTACTTCTCGGCGCTGCCGTCCCTGGAGGAGTACTGGCAACAGGTAACGGCTCGCGGGCGGGCGGACCGGGGCTCCGGACCCGGCGGGACCCGGGCGCAGCGGACCCGAGCGGGCACCGGAGCCGGCGGGACCCGCGCGCCGCCGCCCTCCCCGGGGACCTGGTTTCCCTGTTGCTCGGCGGGGTTGAGCGTAGTTTTCCTTTAGCCTGGAATGCTGCCTGCGAGGCACGGATCGGCCTTTCGCTTGCGGACTCCGGCCCGGCCCTGCCGCTGACCCCGGACGGCCCGAGTCGGGGCGCAGAGCCGCGGTGCCCGGCCCTTTCGCGGATCCGGGATTTGGGCGTCGGAGATTTGAGACCTGATTCCTAGGGCGGTCGGAGGGGAGAGACTCTAACACTTGTCCCTCTGCCTTTAAAAACGAGAAAGGGGATTTGGTGTCTCTCCCCTGCTGTGCTGCCTTGTTTTTTTATTTTATTTTTTGGTCAGAGTGAATTAGCAGCTCCGATGTATTCTGTGGGTTTCAAAGCCTAGAAGGCTCTTAAAGGAGGATGAAATTCAGAGTGTTGCACCATCTCACGCCAGCTTAATTGTTCACAACAACACCCCCCCCTCCCCCCAGCTGCACACTCGGACTGGCTGAAATCGATCTAAGTAGTTTCCTTCGGGCATTTGGGATTTGGGCCACGAGCCAGACCTGGCTCCCCGTTGCCTTCAGAGGCTTTTAAACTCTCAGCTTCGTTCAGGTCCCCGGTGCTCATCAGCATAATGGAGATTTAAAATTCGCCAGATTATTAAAGTTTAACAGGATCTCCATAAATGTGCTTGCTTTTTTCTTTGGAACATCAATAAAACGTCTCGCCGCCTCTCTGCAAAACACCGTAGTAGGCATTGTAAGTCAGACATCTAATTTGAGGGAAGAAAGAGAAAACAATGATTCTGCCCCCTTTGCTTGCTCCTGCTTGCTGTGTGAAGAGGCTGCGGGGCGGGCAGGCCTTGTCCATGTCAGGATAGGAGCCACATTGCGAAGGATCGGAGCCCTTTCTGGGGCTCTGCTCAAGATGGTCCGCGCCCTGAAAATGATTCCATGAAAACAACAGTTTGGTGTCAAAATTTAAATCTGTGGGATTGCCAGTAGCTCAGACAACCTTATATGGACATGCAGGCAACCTAGTGAAAATTCGGGCAGACATAATTTGATCCTAAAACGTTTCCTACCATTTTTCTTTTCCAGTGGCTAGAAAGTTTGAAATGGTGGGGAGAGGGGATGCTGATCTCAGCAGTTGTAGCTTCTTGAAAGGTTGGTTGTGGGGCTGGGGGGGCACCCTGTCCATGACGTACTGCATGTATATTTGAACCGGGTCCTTATTTGGCTGCTGGTCAGAATTTCAAAAGGAAGTCTCCTTTGGCATTGCGTGAAAGAAATAGGAGTGATGACTCATACAGTTGTACTCTTGGCCAGTAGATAAAGTTCTTGTTCATTGTGGGACTCCCAGCAGGGCTGTGGAGTAATTTCCCCCTTGCATCCTTCACAATAGCAGATGGCCATTCTGGAATTATTCCCCCACTCCTGTTGAAGTTTCTCGTTTCTCCATGACCACTGTAGAAGTAATTAAAGTTTTGTAGCATGAATGGCCTTGCACTGGGGACTGCCATTCTTTGAAAACATACAAGGTCTCGGTTACACAGGAAATGGGTGGTTTCTTTGCAACTCCGTTGCTGTCCCTGAGCCGGGCAGCCAGCTGCTGTCTGCTGCCTTGAGTGTGGCCTTGTCAGCTGTGTCCCCGAGGGGGTGCGTTGGACACCTCTGCCCCGTGCCATCTTTCTGTGCTGTCCTGTGGGTACTGTGGCGTGTGAGCCTGGATGGCCCGGTCTCTCTGTACACATGGTTCTTAAGAATGTCAGATGATCTGGTTCAACCTGTTGGGGGGGGTGTGTGAGGCTGATTTTCTTTGTGTGGTTTTTGGGAAACTCATTAGAAATGTCAACACTTGTAACTATAACAACAAAACAGGCTTAGCGATCGTCACTCATTGTGGCCAACACGGGGGAAGCCAACAGAAGTTTCGCCCTGTTTTTCCTTCTGAATTCTTGCTGTTCCTAGGAATTATTTCCTCTCGCTTTCATAGGGACACAGCTAATTACAGGCGGCTCTGTGCCCACAGTGAGTGACACTGCAGTAGTTTATCCATGCTTTGTTCCTGCGTATGTTTGCAAATGTGCTTTTGGTTCCACTTTCAATTGTGGTAACAGTCACGTGTCTTTGCTTCACTTTACACAGACCTGCCTGGAATTGGAACGCTACCTCCAGAGTGAACCCTGCTACGTCTCAGCCTCGGAAATCAAATTTGACAACCAGGAGGATCTGTGGACCAAAATCATTCTGGCTCGGGAGAAAAAAGAGGAATCCGAACTGAAGATTTCTTCTAGTCCCCCAGAGGAGCCTCTGGTCAGCCCAAGCTTCAGTTACAACCTAGAGACCAACAGCCTGCACTCAGACGTCAGCAGCGAGTCATCCGACAGCTCAGAGGAGCTCTCGCCCACTACCAAGTTTACCTCTGACCCCATCTGCGAAGTGTTGGTTAATTCAGGAAACCTGAGCTCCTCTGTCACCTCCACGCCTCCCTCTTCTCCAGAACTGAGCCGAGAGCCTTCTCACCTTTGGGGCTGTGTGCCCGGGGAGCTGCCCTCACCCTCGCCCTCGCCGGGGAAGGTGCGCAGCGGGACTTCTTCCGGGAAGCCAGGGGACAAGGGCAGTGGCGACACCTCCCCCGACGGCCGGAGGAGGGTGCACCGCTGCCACTTCAATGGCTGCAGGAAAGTTTACACCAAAAGCTCCCACCTGAAAGCACACCAGCGCACACACACAGGTCAGTCCCCCTGGGAGCTGGGGGGCGGGTGGCGCCGGTGGGGGCCACGGAGCCGTTCCGCCCTGGGAGGGCGGGCCCGTGGGATGTGGCCTTAGCAGACAGAGCCTCACTTCCTAAGCGCTTTCTGCCCAAGAGGGGTCTTTTGGAGTTCACAGTAGAGCCCTGGAGACTGGACACCTGAATCAGATGAAGGTGAATACCATGAGATCAGACAAGCAAGAGGCATGGAGAGCTCCCAGGCTGACACTCCCGCCGCCAGGGCCTGTGCCTGGTGCATTTGCATCGTGTCCTGTTGGGCTGCTCTTCTCTGAGAGCCCAAGGTCAGAGCAGGCTCCCTGGGCCTGGTGGAGTGTGTCCACCCTGTGGGCCGCACACTGATCCGTGGCTGTGTATGGAGGGCACTGTTTCAATTAGCCTTTTTTTCTGATAGTACCAAATAGAACAGTGATTTCTAAATGAAACACCACAACTTAGATGAAAGCTTTACTTAAAAATACCAGAAACGACCCCAGGGATGACTGGTGAGGAATTGCAGAGCATTTCAGACGAAGGAAGACACAGTGGCGCCTACTGGCAGCAACGTCAGAGCTGAGGGTTCACAGCCACAAGGGTGGGAGGACAAAGCTGAGGGGCACAGGTGTCCAGAAAACCAGGCAGTATCTCCTCTGGAGTGCCTTTGTTTTGTTTTTCTTTTTTAAAACTATTTATTCTTGGCACTTTTGCTGAATTTGTATTTATAGCTTGGCCAGGAATGAAGTCAGCTTAGTCATTTGATTGCCATCTAGAAAATGATTTGCAAGCCGTGGAATGAAGTCTCCCAGATACTCATGACTTCAGTCTCATACAAAGGTAGAAAGTCCCAGAAGGAAGAGCAGACTCATTCCTCAGGGAAGTGAGTAAGGAACGAAATAGTGCTGGAAGGGAAGCAGTTTCCATGGGGAAAGTAATAAAGCCTGGCCCTCAGACCAGTTTGAGTCACTGGCGTTGTCTGTTGATTTTGACTTTGGTAGCACGGCCTTTCCCCAGATTGGGTCCCTTACCCTTAGGTTGGCAGATGCTGTCCTTAATGAAATATACTATGAGCTTGCGAAGCCACTGGGAGCCTGAGCTTGCACCCCTCTCCTGTGTGTTGTTGAGCCTGCCCTTGCCTCGGCTGTCTGTCGGTGAATCAGCGCGCCTGTCATGTGCTCTCTTCCCAGGAGAAAAGCCTTACAGATGCTCATGGGAAGGGTGTGAGTGGCGATTTGCAAGAAGTGATGAGTTAACCAGACACTTCCGGAAGCACACGGGTGCCAAGCCTTTTAAATGCTCTCACTGTGACAGGTACGTGCACGGGGCTGTGCTGGAGAAGTCACAGGGCTGCAGGGCTGCAGTGACCAGGACAGGGGCCCTGTGCAGCAGACCTTGGAAAGGCCAGCAGTGTCTGGCATTTGTTGACATTTCTTTTAAGCCTACAGCATTCTGAGAAAGCCTCTGATGTATTCCATGTCCATGTTAGGAAGCGCTGTTCCAGATGTGCATGGGACTACAGTGATTTGCTACCCACTTTTTTAAGACTGGCCTTCGGCAGTTTTCAAGTTTGAAAAATGAGATACGAGGTCCATTCCGATGTTCCAAAGAACTTCCTAGTGCTGACTGGGGACCTCCTTAACTCTCGCTCCTCCGAGACAGGCTCCCGCCTCGGAAGTTCTGGCTAAGAGGAGAGTTCCACCTTCCCAACCCGAGAGGCTGGGTCGGGTCGGCTGTCCCGGGAAGTGAGGTGTTCAGTCTGTAACAGCCAGGGAGGAGACCTAAGCTGTGCTTCTGATTTGCCTTTGCAGGTGTTTCTCCAGGTCTGACCACCTGGCCCTGCACATGAAGAGGCACCTCTGAGGGAGCAGAGTGAATCCAGTGGGCTAAAAGGCTTCCGGGCTGAGAGGCGGCCGTGGGAGGAGGATGCGTGCTCCAGCCAAAGCATGCCATTTTGCACCCTACCCAGTTGCCTGCAGGGCCTCTCTCTGAAAGGCCTTTTGAGGGCTGACCAAAAGAAGCGGCTTTACCGCCTGTGGTGCGTGGTGTCGGGTGATCCTGGACTCGCCACTGGTACCCGACCTTCTGAGAGGCGCCGAGCCCTCGCCGTGAGCATGCGCACTGAGAGAGTCAATGGTTGGGCTGACTGTATGCTGAGGATCTATTACTGATTGTATGATGCGGCAGGCTTTTCCCCTGTGGTAACAACTGCCAGACACGGGGGCAGAGCGGTTTGAATGTGCTGTGTGCAAGGAGTGTGCCATAGATGAGACGACCACCAGTCATTTCCTGGGAGGGTGTCTGCACCTTAGAAAAATACAAAAACAAAACAAAACAAAAAACAGAAAAAAAAAAAAGGAGGGTGGGAGTGGGAACTCAGGACCCCAGAGAGGGAGTGCTGTGGGCAGGGGAGGCCCCCTGCGTGGGGAGCTTGTGGTGTCTGGTGCAGCTATTAAACGTGCAATGTGTCAAGTAGCTTGTTTTACTTGCTACAACAGAGCTCATTTGTAACCCATTGTATAAGCTGTATTTACAAATATAATACAATGATAACTTTTCCTTAGAATACAAGAAGTCATGCATGGTCTGGGGAACTCTATGCTTTTCCATTTTAGAATCCGGACTGCAATCTTGATTGCGATTAAGGAGCAGCTAAGATACAATCTGTCTAATCCAGTAACCCCTGGCCATCAGGGCCTGGCAAGACACAGTCCCCTCGTGTTTTGTAACACTCCCCTTCCGGAAAGGTGTTGTGCAGCATAGGATTATTTTTAAAATGATTCCGAATTTGAACTTACTTCTTGGAAGAATTTTGTGATGCCCTTTGAAGAAACTGGACATGGGTCCAGAGCCCAGACACTGGGGCTGGAAATTGCTGGTCTAATGTTACGTTAGGCTGAGAAGGAACCTAAAATTTTTCACAGTTGGGTGAATAAAACCACTAAAGCTTAGAAACTGTTTTTCTCATGCAGCTATGTTTCTCTTATTTATGCCTTGAGGACTAATTTCTGGTTTTCTAGCTGTTAATGCACTGTTGACCTTCATAATGGTGCCTTATGCAGGTGACCCCCATGCAGGGGTCTCATACAGGGGTTTGGGTGGTGCATGCTTTATTAAGGCTCTTTTTTCACCTGGCATTGTACTGTATCAATGTATAATTCAGAAAAAAAAGAAAAGAAAAAAACCTCTTTAAGGTCCTCTTTCACAAAGAAATAGATGAAAACTCCCTCGACATGTTGGTATTTGTTCAATATTTTATTAGACAACTTGACTGTCAGTGTTAAAATGGGGAAAAAAACCTACATGGTAATTGAAAAAAATCTGACCAATTCTGCCACCGTGAGACTTCATATAGACCTTGCACAACAATTGTATAGCTCACACACCGGCTGTATTTAATATGTAACATTTTCACACATATTAAAGATGCAGAAGTATTAAAATCCCAATGTCAATGTATTTGCTTAAAAGGCACAAGTTTCACATATTATCTAGCTATCTGTTGGTAATACAGAAAGGATACTACTTTTTGTAAGAAGTGGGCAGAATTCTTGTGTATGTATATTTGTGTGTATAGTATGTGTATGTGTATATATATTATATATATAGATAATATATAAATATTTTTTTTAAGGAGAAACTAGAATGTTTAGCTAGAAAATTCTACAGCCTGTGAAGTATTTCAAAATGGCCATAAAGGAGGTAAAAATGCAAAGTATAACCTAAGTTTTGTGGAGGCTTTATCTTTGATTTAATGAGTTGCTGGAGAGCATCCTGGCGCCGAGTCCCTTGCAGACTGCGACTCTGTCCTCATCCTTGTGGGCGGGTGTGGGATGGGTACTCTGGCCACTCAGAAGTGCGTGGACAGAGTCCTGACACACCACGGCTTGGATTTGAATGTCAGCCTTATTAGAAGACCTAGCCTAAGAGTAAGCTAATCACAGGGATTCTTTTTTAGATACTTTTTATGCAGATAAAGCTATTTTTTCCAGCATGTAAATTCTTCCAGTTTTTCCAAGGAATGGTTTCCCCCAGTTGGCCTACCACCCAGCATGGGAAGCTGGTATTTCACCCGGCATTCAGCTGCTGGCTGTGGGTGTGGATCACGCGCGTACACACACACGTATGCCTGTGTGTTCCGATACGAGTCTGGCTGAGCTGGTGTTTTGTTTGATCTTCCTGGAAATGAGCAGTGATTAAAGCTCACAAAACTGGTTTTCTTAAATCTGAGCTGATGAAAAAATGCACTTTCTGTTTGGCAGTTCAGAATCCACGCACCTGATTTGCTGGATTTTGGAAAACCCCTTTTTGGCCCTGCTGTGTGCTTAGCCATAACAATTCCATGAAGCAAGAAGGTAAACAAAAGACAAAAAAACTTGCGCTGGCTTGTCTCGCTTACGAAACACCGTGGACGTTTGCCTGGGTGGGGTGGGTGCCCCATATGTCAATGCCTGTAATTTTCATAATAAGCAAGTACATAAAGAAGTACATTCTGTTCAGGTGATAACTGAGCCTCAATCAAGCAGAATCTTTTTGCTTGAAATTAAAAAAAAATTTCTATTAGTGAAATTTCTTTTCTCTTTTTTTTTTTTTGGAAGCACCCTGTTATCTAAAGAATCTTTGTAAGATTTTTGTAAAATTTTGTTTTACAAGATTTTATTTGAAATTGTTTTTTGCAAGATTGTTATATTTCTGTATGAATGTATTTTTTATTGGAATAACATAAAAGAATTCTTATCAGCGGCTGGAGTCTGGTTGTTTTCCGCAGCGGGGGCGGGGCTGTAGGGGCGAATTCCTGCTGCCTTACTCACCCTGGCCTCCGACGCAGCCTGGCCTGCTGCTGGGGAGGAGCCCGGCCGGCCCGGCTCCCCTGAGATGCGAGGAATGCGCCTCCCGGCTGGAGGGGCCGCCCGCTGAGGGCTGGGTGGGGAGCCCCTTGCCCCTTGCCCCTTGCCCCTTGCCCCTTGCCCCTTGCCCCTTGCCCCTTCCACCCCAGTGCCCCTCGCGCGCCTGCGCCGGCCCCGTCCTGCCCGGAACAGCAGGCAGCGCCCTGCAGAGACCTGCGGGGGGTGGGCGGAGGCCGGGGGACAGCAGGCTGGAGTCCTGGCTGCTCCAGCCTCCCCGGTTAGCCTCAGAAAGTGAATGATTCGGGCAGCACATGATTTTGTCTCTAGAGACCAATAGGCTGTCTTAAATGTACAGTTTGTTTGAAAATAAGGCCGCTTCTTCCCTCTAGGAACAACATTTTTGGCAAATGGCAGTGTCGGTTTAACTGTAGCGCATGGATCAGTGCAAATTGATGTGTCTAGACTGTCCCGCGTATAGGAAGCCAATCCGTGATGGGGGGTCCATGTGTTTCCCTGGGATCAGCCTTCCAGGAGGAGTGGTCTCCATTTCAGGTGGCTGGGTAACTTGCGTTCCTTCTAGTAATTCTTCATTTTCCTAAATGTCCCGAGTTTATGGACACTTTATAACTGAGTAGGAGAAATGTGAATGTATTCCCAGATTAGGAATTTTAGGAAAATTGCTTTCCCTAACCATGATAAAAATATAAGCACTTTGGAAGGGTTTGTGGTGGGGCAGGGCGTGAGGAACATGACAGTGTCGCCAGAATTCATGGGTGTGTTATGATCCGGGCCGAATGTCAGGATGACTAATTGTTGGATTGCCCTGACTGCAGTCTAAAGACAGGATTAATAGTACGATCTCGGCTACTATTGAGACTTGACCACTTTGTCATGCAAAATCTATGTCGGAGAAGCTGAGTTATGTTCAAATAAGGTTGTCTGGAGAAGAGTTGTGTACAGAATCTGCTGCAAACTTAGGATATTTATAGAACTCTAAAAAATTTCAGTGCACTTAACATTTTCTGAAACCTAGCTAAAAGAAAGGAAATATCCTTGCTCTAACAAGCTCGTGCTTTGGGGACAATTAGCTGAGTTACATGGGACCCCAGTTTGCTTATTGCTAAAATAGTTTGGGCTGGGTTACATGTACCAGCATTTTCCATAGCGCTCCAGTTCTGTGGTCCATGAATACAGAGTGGACTTCAAATTACAGGTTCACCATCTTCAGAGCTCTTGGCTCAGGTCTGGCAAATTTCTCTTGGGCTTCAGGACACTACGTAGCATACATTTTTTAATTAAAAGAAAAAACATTGAAAAGTGCTATTGTAGCTGCAAATGGATTTGAGGTCTCTTCAACTGATAAAATTCCATTCTGTATCCAAGTTCTTCTGTATTTTCAAAGGACAAGGAAGGCAATTAAAGTTGCTTCCTTTTTCTTGACTGTTGTTTGTTTGTTTGTTTTCTGGTGCTTCCAGGGATTAAACCCAGGACTTTGGCCCTGAGCAACTTTTCCTGGGCCTTTTTTGTTTTGAGACTGGGTTTCACTGAGTCCCTGCATTGCCCAAGCTAGGCCAAAACTTACAATCTTCCTGCCTCAGCCTTCTGGAGTGCTGGAATTATAGGTATGGGCCGCCATGTCCTGCTTAGAGTCCCTTACCTTCATATTTTAATTACCATACAATCTGATGATATTAAAGATGATGGTGTCTACGAGAGAGAGGGAGAGATCATGTGTATAGTAGGTTTCATAGCCATTTCACAAATGGGGACAGTTGAGACTTCAAGAGATTATGCCTCTTTCCTGAGGTCACTCAGCTCAGAAGGCCCAGGCTCTGGGTTCTAGTCCAGCTCTCTCGGATTCCAGAGTCCACCATTTCGGCCACAGCCCTATCCTGCTTTCTGTTTTAACCAACCTTTCTGGAGAGGCTTCTGTTCAATCTGAAGGATTCACCGTAAAACAATGTTACATGTGTGAAATCGAGACCGAGCATCCTCACCAGTTCAAAAGCACTAGAGCTATAAACTGTACTGTAACCCTAAGAAAACAGAAGTAACCGTTTTGAATTGCTTTCGAGATATGAGACAGATGGCATGTATTTATTTTTAATGTTTAAGAATATAGAGAAAAGCGATTGGTGTTTTATCATCCTGCATTAACTGGCAGGAATCAGCTAATAGACATAGTTAAGATACAAAGGGAGGAAAATTAGGTCCATGCATCACGCAAATGAGCCAATGCGGCAAAGTGTATTTACTAGATTTATTTTATGGCAAGGTCTTTGTTTCACTCTGTGTAATTTTAATGACAATCCTCCAAATGTCTGTGAATGAGGAGAGACAGAGAACAAATCTGGGTGCCATATTTCCTCCTAGGAGCTGAGCTGGGCTGAATAATCACTGCAGAATCTTCCATAAAATATACATTTATCTAGAACTCCCAGCACCAACCTGAGATTCTCCCAACTCCGGCTCTAAGCCATGTACTTGCTTCTTACATAATCTCTGCAAGAAAAAAAATGTTATCACATGATCTCTGCCATTGTTCCTTAAAATAAGAGCCCCCGATTGAAATCTGCCATAAACAATTAACTTCTGTAACACCGTTCCAATCCGGAGATAATGGATGACTGCACTGTGCTGCACACCTCTATCTTTCTAAGATTCGTCCTTTGCTGGTGACAGAGCATGTTTACAAGGAAACTGCGTGTACCAGCTGAGCCAGGCATGGTTCCTCTCGATTTCTTAAAGTTTCACATTACTGCATTTCATTTTGGTTGTGCAAGAGTTGCTTCCAGATGTGTGAGACAGTTAATGACACCGGCGGATCGCGGATGTTATCAGTTAACTCACTCCAAAGCCAGGCAGCATTGCCCAAGCATCATTTTTCTGTTTGTGTTGGTGAACAGATGAGAAAATGGGATCGGTGAGATAGTAGTGAAGTGCACGGATGCCAATCTACCCTTGAAGACAAGAATGTGAAAAATCCACACCTATGATCTCCGCCTTCACTTGTGCAATTTACCATCCTCTGCAAAGTAGGTTATTTATTCAGAAGCTCAAAAGCAAGAGTGAGCCAGTTCATCGCGAGAGATATGTGTGTGTGTACAGGTTGTAATTTTAAAAAATCTTACTCCTTGTAGTAAAACTGCTTTGGGGCAATATTCTTACATATACACCATTTAGTTTATGTATATTAGAGAAGACATTGGTGTTAGCTGCAGATTTGAAATACTGCGTCCTAACGAGCCCAAAGGGAACATTTGTCCCCGTGTCCTGACATGAGATGGAGACCAGGGGACTGGTGCTACAGGAGGATTTGGAAAGAGAAGACCCTCCTGCGCTGCGGGGAGACACGGCTGCCATGGGAATGGAGCTTCCCAAGGGATCGGCTGCTCTGCTAGGCTTTTCCAGTGTGCAGCGAGGCCCTCTCTTTCAGCCTCAAGTGTGGGAATGGGCCAACCCATTCTCCACCCTACTGGATAGCTTTATGGGGATTAACATGGGAAGGCTGCTGGCAGCTTTTGATTCACCATTAGTCAACCATGACCGGGCCATGAAGCTCCTGCTCTGAGGTAGTTGGGAACACTGCCTTGGAAGGACCTGTGTGCTTGCTCGGGCAGCTGGGGTCGCACCTGGGAGTCAGACAACTGTACAGCAAGTGGGGAAGGTGCAGACTCGAAGACCCACAGCCCCTTCTTTAAGCTGTGAGTTTCCCTGGAAAACTACTATTTGAGCACAACCTAGGAGTTTACAAAGAGCAATGAGCAGTTCCCTTACTATAGTTGGGGCAATCAGTGGGGAATCTTCTAGTGTGGAACCTAAAGGCAAAGACTTCGTTAATTTCTGGCTTTGTGATTGTTGCTTAAACCATGTCAGCTGTGATTTTCACATCTCCAAAATGGGCACTGTGGGGAGCCCTTCGTGACTGTTGGGAGATTAGGCAGAAGGTGTGTACAAGGCTGGTCCAAGGCCCAGAGCACAGCAAACAATCAATTGTTGGTCATTATTGTGATGGCATGGTGAATATTTATTTCTTAAATAGGAAAGTGATTTTCTTCCTGACCATTGAATTTATTTTAAAATGGATTCCTTTCTTAAAATTAGCAACAGGAATCATTCACTCATATTTTCTTTCCACAACATAATTTTCCCCTAAATTCGGAGAAGGGTAAGTACAGACTATTATGCTGTTTTTAAAAATGACCTACAAAGTTGTTTCCTCTTACAATACTTGCTATGCTGCTGAAATCTTGCAGGAAGGAAATTCTGCAAGTCTTTGAGTAAAAAGCACTTTGCTGTCAAAAGCCAGGAACATACTGACCAATGGCAGAGCTGAATTGACCAACAGACTTGATTGGCTGAATTCACTGTAGTTTTAACAAGGAACAGAAGTCCCAGTGGTTACTCCATTTTTCACAAGCTGCTACAAGTCCTGATACTGCTCCAATTCTTCTGAGTCAGGTGGATTTAAGTCACTACTCAACAGATGTCTGGAATTATTGCATTATTTATTACATCCTTTCCAACAAAATGAACTATGTGCATTAAATACCTCATACATCACCAAGTATCAGTCAGTGTGCTAGAAGCCAGTTTAATTTGGCAGAAGATCTGTCCAATTAAAGTTGGCATACATACACTCAGATATACTTGTTTTATTTTCTTTATTTTCTTGTTTTAATTGACTTTGTCTACTGCCTTATTTATCATTTTCACCACAGTTTCTCCTCTGCACCTAACTTCCATGAAAATATATTTGTACCCTCATTATCCTTAGGGAAAATAAGATACCCTAAATTGGCAGACAATTTTGTTGTTGTTGTGTTGCTTAGGTATAAAATAGCCTCACTGGTAGCATTTTTTCCATCTGAGAAGCACAGTGGACAGGATTGAACC